CTGATGATTAGTGATGAGGAGTATTTTTTTCATGTACCTTTTGGCCATTCGGATTTCTTCTTTGTATGACTTAACTTTTAACTGTTTAAATATACAAGTCTGCAATTTCTCAAGGAATTTCTCTATCCTAAGCCTCCTCTTGGGGGCTGGAGCAATAGCACAACAGTAGGGCGTTTGCCTTGCGTACAGCCGGCCTGGCTAAGCCGGGTTTGTTTCCTCCGCCCCTCTCGGAGAGCCTGGCAATCTACGGAGAGCATCCCACCCGCACGGCAGAGCCTGGCAACCCACCCGTGATGTATTCGATATGCCAAACACAGTAACAACAAGTCTCAAAATGGAGATGTTACTGGGTCCTCTCAAGCAAATAGATGAACAACGGGAGGACAGTGTTTGTTTGTTCAAGCCTCCTCTTCATGATTCTCATGTCAATGTGAAGCATTGCTTTATTAATACATAATTTTGTCTTTATATTACTTTGTATGATGAAAGAAGAGACTCAGAATTGACTTTCCCCCAGTTTTCAAAACAATATGTAGGAACTAGCACCTATTAAAGAATATAAGAAATTGTGAAATAATGTTAATTGCTAAGGATTTCAGAAATTTATACATTATATTGTACCTGTAGGGCTGGAGCGATAGCACAGCGGGTAGGGCATTTGCCTTGCACACGACCAACCAGTCTGACCCGAGTTTTATTCCTCTGCCTCTCTCAGAGAGCCCGGCAAGCTACCTAGAGTATCTCGCCCGCACAGCAAAGCCTGGCAAGCTACCCGTGATGTATTCGATGTGCCAAACACAATAACAACAAGTTACTGGGCCTGCTCAAGCAAATCAATGAACAACAGGAGGACAGAGACAGTGATTGTACCTGTAGCACTGTAACACTGTCCTCCTGTTGTTCATCGATTTGCTCAAACGTGCACTAGTAACATCTCCAATGTGAGTCTTGTAATTGCTGTTTTTGGCATATTGAATACACCACGGGCAACTTGCCAGGCTCTGCCATGCGGATGGGATACTCTCAGTAGCTTGCTGGGCTCTCTGAGAGGGACGGACGAATCGAACATGGGTCGTCCATGTGCAAGGCAAATGCCCTTCCCCCTGTGCTATTGCTCCAGCCCATATTGTACCTACTATGCCAAGATATTTTTATATTCAGAATGTATTGAATGCTACTATTACTGACTCATTTGTTTTCTAATGCACATGAAATCAGATTTCTACACGAATATTCTTAATTATAAATGTCATAAAAACTCTCAGTAGGCCCTAGACCTTTTGGAATTTGGTTGATGTGCTGCTTGGAAGAATATTGGATCCCACAAACTTTGTGTTACCGTCCTCAGCTAATAAAAAGAGATCTTTAGTGCAACTAATATTATGAAATTTAGAGAAACTGTGTGTGAGAATGTTGTAATCATTTTCACCTAATAAGGACTTATATTTTTACGAAATAAAGTAGCACTGTAGCACTGTCCTCCCGTTGTTCACCGAGTTGCTCGAGCAGGCACCAGTAATGTCTCCATTGTGAGACTTGTCACTGTTTTTGGCATATTGAATACACCACAAGGAGCTTGCCAGGCTCTGTCGTGTGGATGAGATACTCTAGGTAGCTTGCCGGGCTCTCTGAGAGGCACGGAGGAATTGAACCCTGGTTGGCCACGTGCAAGACAAACGCCTTACCCACTGTGCTATTGTTCCAGTCCACCAAATAAAGTATCTGGATAAAAATATTTGATCTGTATTTGAAGATTCCGTATATTATATGCTTATCATTTTCTGTTTAGCTAACATATAATGAGTGTAACCTCATCAGAATGGAACAAATAAGCCACTTAAATACTACATGTTAGATCAGTAGAAGGCTGAAGTCCTCAATATTGGCTTCCAAGTTATGAAGTATCAATAGCAAACACTCATTTTATTTCTCTAAAATAGTTTTTTGTATCTTCCAGTATAGATGAATGTTAAAGACTTAGATTCTGGTGTGACATGTAGATGTCTTTGCAAAGAATTCCTTTCAAGGATTACAGCCTCATAGAAGTAAATGTTATTTACATTTACATAGGTCATAATTGTTCAAGAAGTGAATTATTTTTGAGAATTTATTGTTTATGGACCCTGGTGCTGTGTAATCCCATCAACGGCCAAGATCCAGAGACTATAAATCCCAGCTCCCGGAAGCACTTATTATCTTATTATCTTATCATCTTATTATCTCACTCTTGCTTTGGACAAACTAGCAGGGTACCAAATGTAACTTGCCCACACGGCAGAGTCTGGCAAACTCCCCGTGGTGTACCCAATATGCCATATACCAGTAACAATGATGGATCTCATTCTCCTAACCCTGAAAGAGCCCTGAATATGGCACTTTTTAAAAAATTCTCAGGGCTAGGACGAAGGAGACGTTACTGGGGCCTGCTCGAGGCAATCAACGGACAACAGGATGGTCATGATTGTGATCGTGATTGTTTATGGGTATTATTTCAAATTATGTTCTTGTCAAATAAATATCAATTGTAGCTTCTTGAGTGTAATTTAAACTTTTTATGTAAGTATAAAATACAATGTAAAATTTAAAATATTTTCCTTTATGACATGCAAACACTTTACCTTACCTTATAAAATTTCCTCAGTTCTGTTATATCTTATAGTTTCTAGGTTAGAATTTCAGTATATATACATACATATACATATATATGTATATATGTGTGTTTATATATATATGTATATATATATATTCTTTCCTCAGTTACAAGTGGTTTCACAAGATTGTAAATTGTTCTTCCCAACTACGGTATGAGATTGGAGATAATAAAAGTACTCAGTGAATTTATTTAAATTCTTTTCCTCTTACTCATCTGTGTTGTGGAGAAAGACAAGACAAGAGAATAGATAGCATTGGATGCTAATGAAGAGCATTGTCCTTTGATTACAAAGTGTTGTCCTTTGATTACAAAACTCAAACTGCCAAGTAATGGGGGGGGGGTGTATGGGGAGAATGAAGAGGTGGACTGGTGATGACATAGGGCTGGTGGTGGAAAACTTGGACATTGAGGTGGTGGTGAGTTACAGTATGGTATGTATGTCGTTATTATAAATGTTAACACTGTTAACCAGGCTACTGAACCAATCATTTAAAATATTAAATATATATATATATATACATATATATATATATATCCTCTTCTTTTTGTTGTTGTCATTGCAATGTCTGGGATAGGAGCCACACACTTTGTTGTGTTCACATACACTTGAAGTTTTACTGGTGGCAGCCCAGAGTTCCCACTGGTAGTATTGGGACTCTCACTAACACTAAAGAATGTGAGAGAGTCCTAAAGATCAAACTTAGACCCATATATCTACCATGTTGACATTCTGTTTCTGAGTCATAACCCTGTAACCACCTGTACTTAAAACTGATATGTGACATATTCTCATTATAAATAAGCCATACAGTTATACAGTTACCACTTAAAAATTTTTCAGCAAGTTTTTAGTATCTAATCTTTTGGCTAACATAATTTATCCCTGTTAATATTTTATTCTGAAAATATTGATGAATGTAAAATACTACTATAAATTTAAAATACTACTATTTGGAGAATTTTGTTTTGTTTTGGGAAGCCACACCAAGCAGTCAGGGACAACTCCTGGCTCTATGCACAGGCCTTATTCCTGATGATTTTGGGAGACCATATGTGTCATGCTGGGGATCAAACTTGGAACTGCAGTGCTTAAGTCTTACCTGCTACACAAACATTTTGGTCCCTTATTTTGGAATTATGTAAACAAAAAAAAAGAAGTAAAATATTTTATATGCTTTTCTGAACAGAAACTTAAAGATAATTATTAAATTGATGCATTTCCTTCTTGAGTTTCATAAATATGTCCTATGTAAAACACAACATATTTATATGCAATTTGGCTTTACATATAGTCATATATGTGTACATGTACATGTGTCATATGTACATATGAAAATGATTGCTTTTTGATGTGTATATACTTAAACATCTGTATAGTTGAAAACACGTAAATTTACATATTCTCTTTAGATAGTTGTATGAATTTTTCATTATATTTCTGTAGTATCACAGTATCACTGTATCACTGTCATCCCTTAGTTCATCAATTTACTCGAGTGAGTACCAGTGTCGTCTCTTTTTGTCCCAGCCCTGAGATTTTAGCAGCCTCTCTTTACTCATCTTTTCCAACTATAGGAGACTCTTTCAGGGTCAGGGTAACGATACCCATTATAGTTACTGGTTTTGGCATATAGGACACGACATGGGTAGCTTGCCAGGCTCTGCCCATGATTTCTGTAGTATCATTCCACAAGTCCTTAGGGAATATTCATGCTTCTGTTTCCTCCTCCCCCCAACTCAATCAACTGGTTGGTAAACACATTTTTTTGGATCATGAAGAAACAATGAAACATGAGGAAGACTTTAAGCATAGTTCTTCATAGGATTTCCCTAGTGTATGCCACTTAGTCCTTAATCATTGAAATTATCTCAAGTAGTAGCTTGCTTCCTGAAACTTTTTAACTAAAAAATTTTTAGATAAGTATGTAGGGGTAGATTGAAAAGCTTTTTTGAATACTTGGGGTCTTAATTGACTTTAGCTTAAAATAACCCACATGTCAGAGTGGCATATTTTGGAATCTTATGTTCTCCTGTCTCAAAATATTTGGATGAAAGAGAAGGCCAACAATAATAAAAAGAAAAAGACAAGGTGAACTAATGAAGTGAGTTACATATATATACTAATAGGTACTGAAATAGTGATGCTTTGTTTATAGATGCAGATTTTCACAGCTCTTTAATGCCAGGTACATTTTGTTTAAATTTTACTTGCTTTTCTATGATTCTTTATAAAATTCTTACTGATATGTGGTCACTCTAAAGCAATTTTTTGAAAACATATATTTACTGTGTAATTATGATGACTTTTCCTATTTTCTACTCTAGTAAGATTTTTTTGTTCTTTCAGAATCTGCCCTTGAAGAAAATCCCATGCAAAGCCAGTGCACCCTCAGGCTCCTTTTTTGCCCGAGACAATACAGCAAATTTCTTATCCTGGTGCCGAGATTTAGGGGTAGATGAAACATGTCTATTTGAATCGGAAGGTTTGGGTATGTATTTCTTTTAGAATTCTAGCTGATGAAATGTTTGACATTTGTCAGAATTATTATCAAAACTTTAGATGTGTGATTTTAGTTCATAGATTGACAAATTTGAAAAAAGGTACAGTGTGTTATAAAGTTGAAGGTTTGTTGTAAATATGAGTGTCTTTGACAAAGAAAATGTATACCCTTTAAGTTTCGGTCCTTTTGTAATGAAAGAATTGAAATTTAGGCCACACTTTTGATTCTAGGATAAAATTAAGTATATATAATGCAAAATCAGTTTTGTTTTATCTTCTGACTGAATTTTATGAATCTACTTTCAGGCCATAGAGTGAATTTAGTATTTCCTTGGAAGATAGCATACATCATGTCACTTAGTCTTTTGCAATACTTAATACTGTAACAATTCAAACCAGGCTTTACCCCAGTACAAATCAAATATGAAGAAAATTGGATTTAAAGTTTCATTCTACTGAAATGCAACTGAGTTAAGAAAAGGGTACACAGGAGTGAAAACACATTAGTCCTTTTGCCTAAAGCATAAAAAAAAGATATTTACAATTTTGTATTCTAACCAACAGCATTTAAGTAAACTAAGCATTCTTTAGAGAGAACAAGTATACAAATTTCCTTTCAAAACAATCAGAATATCTTTTGCCTCAGGGCCACAAAATAATATTCCCCTGTGAATCTAGGAAATTGATGGTAATGGCTAAAATCTTGTTCTATTGGCTTAAATAAATTTTTATTTGTAATAACAGTGTGATATGAAAAATAATGCTTTCAAATTTCTGAGAAATCTCTCAACAGAGGCAGGAATAACATGAATTTATATTAGGAAAACATTTTCTAACTGAAGGAAAACAGAGTAATTGCACAATTGTATACTCTTGTATACAATTTGTGGATGCTCATTATAGTTTATGGGAACTCATTATATAAATGGGTTTGAGTATTATTAACCATTTTCTTGCATAAAAATAAAACAAATTTGGTAGATGATATGAGGATATGTTTATGTTCCTTTTTTTCATCCCATTGGTAATTTTATAACCAGGCTTTAATTCATGTTCATAGGGAACTGTAGAGTCAAGGGTTATATAAAAGGGAGTGTAGGAGAATAATTTGTAAAAACAAAAATAAAGATAAGTAAATATCTTTTTCTATCTCTCTATCAAATCTCATCACATGTAGTACTCTACACATATATAGATAAATAAAATCATAACTTAAAAATCTGCAATTTTTATAGAATTTTTTATAGGGAAACTGCTTTTTCCCCCTTAATTCACTTATTGTACAGGTTTTCATTAACAAATCATTACCCCCTAACCCCCAAGTGGTATCCTGGATTGCGATGAGCTGTGAACATAGATATGATCTTGTCTCAGTATTCCCACTGTCCTTAAGTTTCATTATTTCACTATTAAAACATTTCTCTAAAATTGAAAAAGGGTTCTCTCTCAAGTAAATATTATAATTCAAAATCTTAATGGTCATTAAGTACATATTATTTACTTTAATGGATTTTAAACCCACATTTAGAATATCAATAAGACCCAAATAACATTCATAATAATGATTTTGTATATAAATACACAGTTTGTAGAATATATACATTATGTCAAGAAGAATTTTGAGATGGCCTAGTTCATAACTGGCTTTAAAAAATAGCTGAATTTATTTGAAGAATCCAAGATAATTTATGTATGCCTATCAAGAATTTTGTTAAAGTCTTTGATTTTTATTATTCTATGATAACATTATGTTCATTAAAAAATTATTTGCAACAAAAGAAATGATCAAAGGCAACAGAACCTAAGGACTAGTCTACAGATCTGGGGGTTATGGGAGTTATTGGGAAGAGACCCTGAGACAATGATGTGGGAAGATGGAACATTGCATGCTTGAAACTCTTCATTACCAGAATTATAATTTACAGTTCTTCAAATAAAAGATAATAATAGGGCTTGAGAGATAGTACAGCAGATAGTACATACCTACTATGTACTATATATTATTTGTACAGATGTACAAATAGCTACACGTAAGTACAAATATGTATAAATAGTAATACAGTTGGCAAGATAGTATAGCACTGGCCTAGTATGTTGTTGACCCAGGTTTGATCTTTACAGCATTGTATAATTCCCTGAGCACTGCTAGGAATTATCACCAAACACAGAGCCAGGAGTAAGTCCTGAACACCCCTAAGTATGGCTCCAAAACAAAATAAAGAAAAAATTAAGAATAATTTTAAAATAAATAACATACACTTACTGATCCAAGAAAGTTTAATAAGACTTACTTATTAAATAAGTGTCTACTGTGATGCATAATAAAGCTTATGAAGATTAGGGGGAAAAGAGTCAATATTACAGCATTGATTTTACTATTATTAAAAAATAAAACAGCTGTACCCTTCTCTATTGCTGATAATAAATTAAGAGAACAATGAGTAATTCTATGTTCCCAAGTGGAAAACTTTTTCCTTCTATTTTCTTATTATTCACCTTGGGGAGGAAGCAATGCAGCCACTGCTGATGGCCTTGGACTCTGTACTTGCAGAATTGACTTTCTCACAACAATAACTCTGTGTACTCTGCTTGATGTCTTTTAACACTACTATTGAAAGAGAATTTAGGGCAAGTTTCTTTTTCTTTTTTTCCTGACTCAAGATTTCATTTCAGTAGAATACAAGATGAAGAGCATCCTTTGTGTCTTTGTGTTCTGAACAGCAAATACAATGAAAAGATGCTCTGATGAAGGGAAAAATCTGTTTGAGTGAATGATAAAGTAGATCCCTGTGCTGTCTGTGTATCAAGAGAGGCTTCTGTCGTTTGATGTTCAAAGGTCTTTGCCTACATAAAACATTCTTATCTTTGTGACAACCGAAATGCTACCCTCTGTTGCAGCGCGCTTTTTTATTTTGTGCAATTATTTGTGAGAGGATCTTGATTCACAACTCACTCAACATGTTCCTTTTCCACAGCAGCTAATGACAAGGAATCTCAGTGGGTGGGGTTGGAAAGGTGTTGTAGGGAGGAACTATAAACTGTGCAATACTATTGGTTCCATAAACTTCATTCATTCGTTCTTCAATTTTTCTAATCTTGGCAGGTAGTGTTCTGTGCCACATGATACAGTAATAAAGTCTGCAGCTTCTTTTCTATTAATTTCTCAAGAAATATTTTTTTCTGTAAATGTCATTCTTCGATCATATATTTACTAGTATCCCAAATAGTGTTTCAAAAATAAGCCAAAGTAAACAAAAGCAGACAAAGGTCATCAAAGATGTTTTCCTCCAAGGCAACAAAAATCCAATAAAAATATTAAAATGCTAGCTGCCTTAGTAACAAGATAAATGCAAATTAAACAATAAAATAAGCAAAGTCTTAAGATTATTTAGTGTAAGGAATAAGTATACAGTCTTTTTTGTTCAGTTTGTAGAGAAATTTTTAAAAGACTTTATGTGTTTTGAAAACAGAAAATTGCCGTTCTATGCCAGAAGCCTCAGAAGTATTTATTCTTTTGTCAAGTTCTGTTTTTCAAAACTTGCCCAAACATAGAAAATAAAAAGAAATAGGCACTAAAAGGCTGCTGCAATATTTTATGGTAAAAAGGTAAAGGTAAAGGCCCTCCCGTTGATCATCGATTTGCTCGAGCGGGCCCAGTAACGTCTCCATTGGAGACTTTGTTGTTACTGTGTTTGGCATATCAAATACTCTCGGTAGCTTGCCGGGCTCTCCGAGAGGGGCGGAGGAATCGAACTCGGGTCGGCCATGTTGGCTGCGTGCAAGGCAAATGCCCTTCCGCTGTGCTATCGCTCCAGCCCAAAGCCAGACTCAAGTTCCATATTTCATGGTGGTAAAACTATATGGAAGTGAACTGAATCTATAATATCTGGCGGAAACTTATGCAAATTATAATCATCCATAGATACAAACCCAAAATATTAATATTCTTCAAACTTTTTAAGTATATGGGAAAATTATGATACACTATGATATCAAGCATTTTTATGTCTAATATAACCATAAAGTATTCAAGTTTAAAAGAAAAGATATAACAATGCTATGACTAATAAGATTTTCTTCTTTAATAGTGTATTAATAAACATTAGCTGGTAACCTAGGTATGTGTGTAACTCCAAAAATAAGCTGCTGTATCTATATGAAGATATTTCCATAAGGTGTTAAGTGATAACTTTTATGCATTAGTGTATTAAGTGATATTATGGAATTACAGTAATTGTGGAATTTATACTTCTGTAGGAATAGGTAATATACTCTTTTGTGGATATATTTTAACCTCAAAGTTATACATGTAATTGGGGCTGGAGTGATAGCACAGTGGGTAGGGCGTTTGCCTTGCATGTGGCCGACCCGGGTTCGATTCCCAGCATCCCATATGGTCCCCTGAGCACGGCCAGGAGTAATTCCTGAGTGCATTAACCAGGAGTAACCCCTGTGCAGCGTTCGGTGTGACCCAAAAAGCAAAAAAAATCCCAAACAAACAAGTGATACATGTAATTTTCACTCATCATCCCTTCTGTTCAAACCATAATGATAATTAAGTAACCAAAGAATATATTTTATGAATCTTAATTGTTAATTATAATTAGTTCCTATGTCCTTAAAAATATTTATGATTATTTTGTAGGTTGAAAAAGTGACTGTTTTCTTAGGTTTAATAGTATGTAATTGATTAGTCTTAAAACATTTCTTCAGTAACTATTTTTAGGGGGGCTGACTAGATAGTACAGCAGGTAGGGCTCTTGCCTTGCACATGGCAGACCCATGTTTTTTAGCCAGCATCTCATATGGTCCCCTGAGCAAGCACTGCCAGGAGTAATTCCCGAGCACAGAGCTAGGAGTAACCCCTGAGCATCACCAGGTATGGCTCCCAAATGGAATAACAACAACAAAAGTAACAACTACAAAACCCAACTATTTTTAGAGAAACAAAATTTGCCAGAAATTTGGCCTCTATTTTAAATTTTAATT